AGCCAAACATATATATATGCCAGTGGTTAGTGCAAAAGTGAAATTAAAAAAAAAAACACATTATGTAGAAAAATGTAATCATAATTTATATTATTTTTTTGCAAAATCTTGAAGCCCTAATTCTAGAGTTTCTCCATAGGGACAATGTGTTAGGACCTGTGTTGGCAGTTTTTTGTAAATAAGCAGATATCGCCTCATTAAGAGCACTACATCTCCATTAAATATACACCTGTCTCACTGGAATGCCCTCTCTCTTTTCTCTGCTGCAGCACACAGCAGCAGGAAACGAAGGCGGCGGCCAGTCCCTGTCGTCGCCTGGCTCCTGCCTGGAGGACTTCCGCACAACACCGTTTATCGAGTGTAATGGGGCCAAGGGCACATGCCACTACTTCGCTAACAAACACAGCTTCTGGCTGACATCTATAGACCAGTCTTTCCACAGCCAGCCGTCCGCGGAGACATTAAAAGCAGGCCAGCTCCTTTCACGCATCAGCCGCTGCCAGGTCTGCATGAAGAACCTGTGAGGAACTTTGCTTCAGTCTCAACAGAGAGGCCCAAAGTTCTCACCCGACAACAACTTTCATCCAAACCACAGTGCTCAGATATGCAATGACTGTGCAGTTCCTCGAGCTTAAATGTGCACTACAAATTCATAAAAAAAAAAAAAGCCATAAAAAAGAACAACTTCATCATGGAACAACTGTATTTTTATTTGTTATTTTGTGTGTTTAACTTATTACCTCAGTTATAATGACACAATGTTAACCACCTAAGGCCACAAAGTACAGCTGAACCAAAGATGCTTCTTTTAAACTATATCGTTCTTTAGTTTGGATCCTGTAGACCTGCTATAAAGCCACTAACGCTGCATCCCTGCCAGCTGAGGGTGACAAAGAGGTATTCTTACATTTCCGCCATCATTTAAACTGCTTGTAAAAAGCCTATTTTTTCTAAAAGTATACAAAGCTGTGCTCTTTTCTATGCATGTAACAACTACTGTTAGTTCATCTGTTTTTCATATGTTCACACAATGCACTGATTCTCTTAAGACATTAAAATAAAAGAAACATGACCCCTCTTTGGTTGTTTAAATCTGTTTCACGTCACTCACATTTTGCTTTAAGAAAAACTGAACAATTTTAAGATGGGACACAGCTTTGAGCCATATAGGATGTGATAATTATTCAGTTATAGCTAGCAAATTTTAAAGCTGAATGCATTTCAGTTCTCTGATTTTTGTGTTTTGTTTTGGCTAGTAGTATCTATTCAAAATAAAATGCAGTGATCTGCAAGTTCATATTATTTTTTTGAATGACTGATTGTTTCTGTGAATGAGAGCAAACAAATCAACATTTGGGAAGCCTGTATTTTTTAATCGCATGTTCTCCACTTTGTTTCGTTTGGGTTTGGGTGTTGATCTAATCTGGAGTATCAAGGACAGCAATGTATGGTTGTGTTGGGAAAATATAAATATACTGATGTAAAAAGAAAAAGAAAAGAAACATATACTTTAAGCGAGAACTGGGGATTTATTCCAAAAAAACTGGACTTCATGGACCTTCCAGGCTTGTAGTTCATTATTTAATGTCCCCATTTCCTACCCATAAACCCTGTTATAAAAACATACCTAGATAATGGGGCATGAGCTTTTATTTCATTGTTCCACAGATTGTTGCTCCTTTAACTCAAAACACTTTAATAGCTGATAAATCAGTTTTTTTAATGATGATTTAATGTATTTGGGGTAATAATACTATTAACCCATTATAGATTTATGTGAGCAAGTCTCTGCCCTGTGATGCTAATACCTGTTTGTGTAACCTTTACCTGGAACTGATGTCAAGTTTTAATATGGTAATTAACCACAGTCTTTTAAATCTAAGGTTTGTTAAAATTGGGCCATTTAAAGATTTTAGAGTAAGAATGGCCTGTCAAGTGAGGTCATAAGTTAGTCCTGACTGTAACTAAATCATACTGAGCTCTACAGGTGCTGGTCATAAAATTAGAATATCATGAAAAAGTAGATTGATTTCAGTAATTCCATTTAAAAAGTGAAACTTGTATATTATATTCATACATTACATACAAACTCATATATTTCAGATGTTTATTTTGTTTAATTTTGATGATTACAAATGACAACAAATGAAAATCTCAAATTCATCATATCAGAAAATTAGAATATTACTGAAGACCAATAAAAACAAAGGATTTATAGAAATGTTGGCCAACTGAAAAGTATGAACATGAAAAGTATGAGCATGTACAGCACTCAGTATTTAGTTGGGCCTCCTTTGGTCTGTATTACTGCAGCAATGCGGCGTGGCATGGAGTCGATCAGTCTGTGGCACTGCTCAGGTGTTATGATAGCCCAGGTTGCTCTAATAGTGGCTTTTAGCTCTTCTGAATTGTTGGGTCTGGTGTATTGCATCTTCTTCTTCACAATACCCCATAGATTTTCTATGGGGTTAAGGTCAGGAGAGTTTGCTGGCCAATTAAGAACAGGGATACCATGGTCCTTCAACCAGGTACTGGTAGCTTTGGCACTGTGTGCAGGTGCCAAGTCCTGTTGGAAAATGAAATCTGCATCTCCAAAAAGTTGGTCAGCTGCAGGAAGCATGAAGTGCTCTAAAACTTCCTGGTATGTGGCTGCGTTGACCCTGGACCTCAGAAAACACAATGGACCAACACCAGCAGATGACATGGCACCCCAAACCATCACTGACTGTGGAAACTTTACACTGGACTTCAAGCAACGTGGATGAAGTGCCTCTCTTCTTTTCCTCCAGACTCTGGGACCTTGATTTCCAAAGGAAATGCAAAATTTACTTTCATCAGAGAACATGACTTTGGACCACTCACCAGCAGTCCAGTCCTGTTTCTCTTTAGCCCAGGCAAGACGCTTCTGACGCTGTCTGTGGTTCAAGAGTGGCTTGACACAAGGAATGCGACAGCAGAAACCCATGTCTTTCATACGTCTGTGTGTGGTGGTTCTTGAAGCACTCACTCCAGCTGCAGTCCACTCTTTGTGAATCTCCCCCACATTTTTGAATGGGTTTTGTTTCACAATCCTCTCCAGGGTGCGGTTATCTCTCTTGCTTGTACACTTTTTTCGACCACATCTTTTCCTTCCCTTCGCCTCTCTATTAATGTGCTTGGACACTGAGCTCTGTGAACAGCCAGCCTCTTTAGCGATGACCTTTTGTGTCTTGCCCTCCTTGTGCAAGGTGTCGATGGTCGTCTTTTGGACAACTGTCAAGTCAGCAGTCTTCCCCATGATTGTGTAGCCTATAGAACTAGACTGAAAGACCATTTAAAGGCTTTTGCAGGTGGTTTGAGTTAATTAGCTGATTAGAGTGTGGCACCAGGGGCCATCAATTTTGAACCTTTTCACAATATTCTAATTTTCTGATATGATGAATTTGAGATTTTCATTTGTTGTCATTTGTAATCATCAAAATTAAACAAAATAAACATCTGAAATATATGAGTTTGTATGTAATGTATGAATATAATATACAAGTTTCACTTTTTAAATGGAATTACTGAAATCAATCTACTTTTTCATATTATTCTAATTTTATGACCAGCACCTGTATCTTGTTTTTGTTTGCTTTTGTTTTCTTTTGGTTGTCCAGATGTGGACTTTGCAGTTTGCTTTGGATCAGTGTCCTGCAGGATAAAATGCTTGAATGCAGGTAAACGTAAAAAAAAAAAAAAAAAAAGGCACATACCCCCAACACTCTTTGCTTTAATTAAATAAAGAGACAATAGTTCAGAAATATCAAGTGATTAAATCTGGTTGCATCCATCTATAAAAACATTGTTTTTGTTCTGATTCAGGTCTTTTCATGGGTTGACTTTTTTTCTAAACAGATCATAACCTTTCATCCAAACCAGATGTCCTTCTGGTCACAGACACTATTTACATACTACGAATAGATTTTAGTTGCAGAGGGAGAACAGAGATGGCAGGGTTTATATGTGACACAACACAGCTGAGTCAGTTCCTTGTGTCAAGACTGAAAGTGTGCTGATGTCTCAAGTACAAGGAACACTTTTAGAGAGAGTAATATGCTCACTTTAGACATATTAGGATCTTTAAAAATATATCAATGTTAAACACAACCACCCAACATTAAAGAAAGGAGGGGGGGCTGTAGATTTATCTTTCTAGTCAATGAGGAAGCACTTCCCAGGTGAAAATGACAACTTACCTCATAGGAGGAAGGCATAAGCCTGACTTGGATTACAAATCTGGAAGCTTCATAAGTACTAAGAAGCACTTTAATAATCGATTAATCATAGACTTGAGTATAGAGACTAAAACATACCATTAGCTGACAAAGTAACCTACTTAAAGCAGTACTTTTATCAAAATTGTAAAAAAAAAAAATATATATATATATATATATATATATACATATATATATATGTATAAACATTTTGCATTTAAGATAAATATTTTTCTCTGTCAACCTACTCTTTCCAAAAGTTTTAGTTTCACCTGGTTTCATTTAGCAAAAAGTCTTCTTTAAGGAACCTTTGACTACCCGATTAATAATCGATGAATTGAAAAAAAGAATCAGCAGATCCGTGGGATATTTGTTTTGCAAAATAATTATTTGCAGCCCTAGTTGAAAGCATCTCCAATAATCCTTATTTCAGTTAAAAGCGGCCCTTATCAATAGTCGTCTTTAATTGAAAATTAGTGAAAAATCTTTAAAGACCTTCTGAAAACCTGGAGGCTAAAAAAACGAAAATTAAATTTAAAAAAATCTGCATCTGGAAGCTTAAAAGACTATCAGAAGTACAAAGGATGACACACAGATGGACATCTTTTCCAACGGTATCAGTGTGGCAGTTACATTCCGATAAAATTTGACTTCGACAGTGATAAGGAAAAAAGGAGTTAATTTTATAATTATAAAGGTGGTAAAAGCTGATTCAATATTTTCATTCTCTTGATGAGGTTATGTACTCGACAGAGCAGACAGGCATCAAAATAAAATTCTTTATTATGACGGCATATTTTAAAAAAATTTTCAACACTGACAGTTTTCTCATTCAGTTTCAATAAAATATAAAGATCAGCATCAATACTTGTAAAAAAAAAAAAAAAGTTGATTAAAGTGAAATGTGATCAAAGTTCTACAATAAACTGTGAAATGAAAGATTAGTGCAGTTAATTAAGTGGGAATACAGAAGTAAAACATTTACCAACAGCAACAAATCAAACAAAGGCACATCTTTGGAGTCTAGAGTGCAGTTTGGAAGGTCCTATTGCATAAAGGGATATTTTCCTTCCTAATGTCTACACAAACTGGATCTACACTTGTGTTCTTCACATCTCTGGGAAATGAGTCTCAGTCAAGGCTAACTAAAGCAGTACCATCACGGTGACGTTTAGTGATCACAATGATAAAAAGGAGTCTGCAGGTGGAGGCCTTAAGGATTTATTTTTGGCACCGCTAACAGCAGCTGGATTTCCCCCGCTTCCCACTGGCCTCCCTGCAGTCCTCTAGATCCACCGTCGGAGAGGCCTGGTTCTCATGCCTCTTTCTAAGGATGGACGGCAGGACCAGATCAAACAGTGTCTCAAACAGGGCGTCCACATTGTACCCGGTTTTGGCGCTGGTTTCAAAACACATCCTATCTGCTGGGAGGCTGCCCTTTTCGTCTAGGCCTTTGTATCGCAGTATTCTTCCGTAAAGGGCCACCGCATCCTCCCGTGCAACCTGTTTGTGAAGCAGCATACCAGACAGGGACGCGGGGGAAGCGGGAGGTGTGGGGCAGGCGGACAACACCTGTGGTTCTGTCCTCGCCTCCTCGCAGTCAGTGCGGTCCTCGGAGAGTACATCAGAGTCCTGACAAAGGTGAGCTTTGGGATCGGTTAGATCTGCCTTGTTCCCCACTAAGGCATAAATGCAGTCATGGTTGGCGGTATCAGTGAGGGACAGGAAGCGCTCCTCCAGCTCAGCGAGGCTCTGCCAGTTAGTGACATCATAGGTGAGGATGACAGCTGCTGCACCACGGCAGTACATGGAGCCCAGACCATGAAACTGCTCCCGACCTGGAAAGACAGACAGAGGAGTTAACCGTTTACAAGAACCCAGTAAAATGTCAACACATAACCCAACATAATCTTAGCTCGATTGAATGGAGAGCATCTGAACACCAGACTTTGACTGGACCCTTATGTCATATAAAATGAAGGTAGTCTTTTAAAGTCTTGCTCTGCAATAAGCTCCATCACTTCATCTACTAGATTAACCGTCTCTGTTAAAAGGGCACCCTCACTGCATGACGCTGCACCACCATGCTTCTTCATGGATGCCAACTCTTATGAAATCCTAAAAGCCATTTTTTTGTGTCCTCTGCATGAAATCTGGAAAACAGGACTCCAGTTTTTTAATGCAATTCCTCCATAGAGGACAGACCTATTTGGTGCATGGCTAATAACTGCCCTGTCCAGAGATTTTCCCATCAGAGTTGTTGAGTCCTCATGACCCGATCGGTGTCTTCTCAGATTAAAAATCTCAATCCTCTTCGCAAAACTACAAATTCACAGGTTTACGAATACAAATCACAGATTTACAAGTTTGAGTAAAACTTAGGGCTGGGCGATAATTCAATAACGATATATATCGATCGATAGACGTGTGGCTCAATAGAAAAAAAGATAGTCGATAAAAGTTCGATAAATAAACGCAGTTTTCCTTCCTTCTCATTGTAGCCTATCATGTAGGTTTATGCTAGTCACTGCTTCCTCCCAACCAATCACAATCGCGGACCCAGTCACGCCGTCACAAAGCGCCGCCCTCTCAAACCACAACACAGAGCATATGAAAATGTCGCAGCAAGAAGAGGAGGAGGAAATTGTTCCAAAGAAGGGTTTTTGTAGTTCGGCAGTCTGGCAGTATTTCGGTCATGGCAAGTCGGACAAAAAACAAACCACAGTCATCTGTAAAATGTGTAAGGAACCAGTGAAAACCAAGTCTGATAACGCAACCAACTTTTTTTTTTTATCATCTCAGCCGCTCACACCCGCAGGAGTACGAGCTGTGTAGGCCCCGACGCGGCTCTCCTCCGAGAAATCTTCGGGAATTTCGGGAAAATATATATATATATTTTCAGTTCTGGGCAGTTTCCCACGTAGTTCTAACAATTGAGATAAAAATGCTGAGGGGCCAGAAACTTCAAAGTAATAACTCAGGTTAAAGCAGGAAACGGGGGCGGCGGCGGCGGTGGGGGGGCATTTATTTATTTGTTATATTTATTTTGGTCACTTTTCTGGTCACTTTAGTTTATTCTTTGTCAGTATTTAATAACATAACACAGGTCTCTTAAGTTATTTTTCTTTAAAACAATTCTGTTATGGTTAAAAAAGTTGGTTAAATAAAGATTTAATTCGAAGTCTGTGTTTGTGTTCTTTATTAAAATTAAATCATTTAGCAATATCATAAAATGTCCAGGCAGAGCTGCACATAAAATATGGTTTCAAATCTTTTCAATAATTATCGATATCGATCAATATGCATTTTTTTTATCGATAAGCTTTTTTTCTATATCACCCAGCCCTAGTAAAACTTATAATTACAACTTCATACTTGTCAATTAGTCATTCTGTACTGCTTTCATGTAAATTAGTGATCCCCAATTGTAGATCAGTAATCCCTACTTTTATATTAGGGATCCCTACTTGTAAATTGGGGATCCCTGCTCGTTGATTGGTGATCCCTGCTTGTAAATTGGTGATCCCTGCTTGTAAATCGGTGATTCCTACTCGTACATTGGTGATCCCTACTCGTAGATTAGGGATCCTACTCGTAATTGTGTCACTTGTTTATGTAAATTTGTGAATTTGCACTAGTATTTTTGCAAAGTTTGAACTTTCTAACTTGTATTTGTAACTTCTAAACTTGCATTCTTACAGATGAGGATCTGATGGCATGTGTATTTGAGTTGGCAACAAGGAACAAACACAAACCCTAAATCTAATTTAATCATTGACTTTCACTTACAAATTCAGAACTCTATTTAGACTTTTTTATTGACAATTATCTTGCTCCATGCACTTGAGTTCATGTCTAATGAGGCAGCCTTGCTTTAAACTTCAGTTTTCCTGACCTGCCTTTGTGTAATTTGTCTTCACAAGGCTGTTTGTCACAACTTTCTCCAAAGCCTTTGAGGTCTTCACAGGAAAAACTTTGGTGATACCAAGTTTAAAATCAGTTTACTAGTTAGGAAACTTCTGAGGGCAATTAGTGGAGCAGAACTATTTACACGTACCATCGTAAAGGGTGCAGATTTTTTTCCTTAACCACATTTCCTTTGCTGCCACTGTAAAACTACCCTCCACTCTGTGTCGATCAATTACATACAATCCGATCAAGTACATTAGGTATGTTTTTTTAGTTTGATGAAATAATGGAAAAGCTAAAGGAGTATTCTTCATCACCCACTATTGCAACATAACCAGTGTTGCAGCCAGTTAAAATGAGTTGAAGTGATTCATCCTGAAAAAAAAAAAAAAATCAAGCACTGAGGCTCATAGGACTGCAGCAGATCGATTGATAACAGGTAGCTGATCGAAGTCAATTATGTAAGGCCCAGGAAAAGAAACTAGACATACTTTCAACAAGACAGGCAGAATTTAGTCAGTGGGTGACAGAGGAGTGGGAGTGATAATAGATCAAACAAACTGTTTTCTAGCTCTTCAATATATCGTCAATCACTTGTTTCGATCTCTAGTTTGTGTATTACGGTCCTTCTTTCTCAGTCCAAAGGAAAAGATTAGAACAAATAAGTGTTTTGAACATATGGTTGATTCATTTGCAAGCAAGACAGGAAAGAAGTCTAATTATAGGTAGCATGTAAAATGCAAGTCTCAATGTTTCTCACTGCAGAAACATTTGGTGTCAAAATCCATTTGGTTTGAAGAAAGTGGCTGAAAACATCCTCATTAGACCAGTTAGCGGCACCGCTTTGTCTTTAACTGGAGGATCTAAACAAGAGAATCAGGAATTATCCAAAGCCTCTTAAAACAGAACAGGTGAGAGTAAACCTACAGTTTTCCTTCTACAAAAACCCTCAAAGCTTCATCAGTAACAGCAGAGGTAAAACCAAGAAGCTAAATTAAATAAAGGGTATTTACAGCAAGTTTTTTTCACTAGCATGCAGCACTGCAGAAAGTTTTATGCAGGGCAGTCAGCAGTTTAACAACAGAAACAAGCTTTGTTGTTGAGATATGTAGGATGCATAAAGGGGAGCATTGTTAGTGGAACTAAATTCCACTGGGGCCAATTCTGGATTAAACAATTAGTTGTTTAGTGATTGGATAAGCCCAGCTAAAACAAACAGCATTTAAACAACAGCACAGCGATTAGTCACATATTTATGGAGTATAAAATGTTTAACTACTTAAATAAAAACTGATTTTTTTCCCCCCTGGTTTTCCTTCATATCAAAATAACCCCCCTGAGAAAAAAAAAAAGATTTTGAAACTTCTAAACACTCACGACTCTCACGGCACGGTGTCTAAAAACAAGCAACACTGATTGCAGTTTTTGGCCCGAATGTCGGAAAATTTCAATTTTCTGGAATTTTTTTTTTTTTAATAACCAACACTGCAGGTTCACTAAGATCACTTTATTTAATACACTTTATTGTATAACACTGGATAATATCTGTGAAACAGTCCAAACTTGTTTTAACAACACTGATACGGTAATTTCACAAGTAATATAAAAATGTGAGTGTTGACTTTCTCTGATTTTCAGACCTTTCTGGAGGGAAATATATATCAGATAAACTGCAGATAAACATGAACATAAGATGGCCAAAAGGCCATCAACCAAAATGAGGGAAATTCTGCCCAATCGATGGCTGCATACCTAAAAACTAAAATCATTTTTACATCCTCCTAATGAAAAAGTCTAATATTTCCCCCCGGATTACATCTCACAAATCTACAGCCAGAGAAAACAAATCAGTGCCAGCCCCTTTCTCTGAGGGCATAACACTGAATGTTAGAGGGTCAGTTAACTTTTAAACCATTTATATATCCTGATACTTGTATCCTTACAATACTTGGAAAGACATGAATTATGCAAAAAAAAAAAAAAACACAAAATCTGCTGCAAGAAGAACTAAAATTCTCATTTTTTTCTACCTAAAAAGATTTGTCATCTATTGGCTATATAAAAAAAAATGTTGCTTTTTGGAAATACTCCTGTATGTATAGCACTGAAAAAGACTGAGTAAAGCAGGGAGTCGATTCCTCAGCGCATCAGGTGACTTAAGAGGAACTGGGTTGGTTTTCTTTTGAGAGGCCAGGCCTGGGAATTACACTTAAGGAGGGAATAGGTCACCAACAGCCATCAATGTACAAAAACTACAACAACCTCCCTTACAGCCACAGCTCTGCTAGGTGTGTAAAAATAGCTTTACAATGACTCAGCGCTGCTGATCTGGCATTTTCCCACAATGCTGAGGGAACGCAGATAACATGGGACCTGCCAGAGGAGGTCAGAGAGCGCAGGGACAGAGGCAGGAAATGGCTCATTGGTGACCAGGCCGGTCTTTCCTCATCTCTGCGGCTCACCAGCTCAACTGCAGGAAAGTTTGCGTTTGCCTCAGATGGTTTACGCTTCATGAAGGCACAATATTTCTACTAATTTGTCAGAGCGGCATGGTGTCTAAAAAGAATTACAATTTCTTAGGTCAATAGGAAGCCTTGTTTGATATAAAAACCATTATCTGTCACTATAGTTCAAATGTGGATCTAAGATTTAAGAAAAACAAAACATACAGGAGGCTTTCTGCTATAAAAAGTTATCAGGAGATATACGAAAAGGAATCAAGGTGACAATGTACTGTTAGCTTTATGCCATGGATGGAGCAATACAGTAAGAAAATGAGTGGCTGCATTAAAAAATTGGATTTTTATTTTTTTTAATGCTTTGGATTAAGATTTTTGTTAAAAATTAAAACGACTTTGCTTATCTCTATTCATTGCTGCAGAATCTGCCTTCAGTTTTGCCTTTGCCTTCAATCGGATTATTTAGATTAATCATCATTAATCAATTATTGAAATAATTGTCAACTAATTCAGTAATCGATTAATCGTTAACTAGAGTATAGAACTCTAAAACCTGCCTTTAGCTGACAGAGTGACCCACTTAGAGCAGAACTATAATTATACCAAAATGGTAAAATAATATAGATTCTGTCAATATGCTCTATCCAGAACTTCTCAAGTGGAAAGGTTTTAGTTTCCACTGGTTTATTTTCGTAAAAAATCTTTAAGGAACTGCTATCGCTGTCCTTTTATTAATCGATTAATCGAAAAAATCATTGTCAGATTAATCAATTCGAAAAATAATCGTTAGTTGCAGCCCTAATTTTCAAATGCCCCATTGAAACTTATAGTGAAACTTGCATTTCTGCAAGAAGACCTTCACATGAAAGATGAGCGTGTGTTCAGAAAAAACTCAGGTATGCAATGACAAGATGACAGAGCAAAGTTCATTATGCCAAAATGAGAAACGTCATCTCAGTTCACTGGTTCACTGTGGCCTTAAATCAAACGTACACCTTCCCAATATATGCAACTGCAATTAAAAAAGGCTTAGATGTAATATTTTAAAAGACATCCGCATTCAGCTACTTAGTTTTTGTTTAATTCCTTGATGCACACATCTGATGTGGTTTTAGTGGCTAAGATTATAAAGCTTAATAAGAGTGGTGGGAAACCAAGCGGTAACCATCAAAACTAATGTAAACTCCCACCCCGTAACATAAGGAGCATATGTTTAACTTAAACAAGCTCTATCTTAAAGGTATATTTTAAAATATACTGAAAGAAGGGAAAGATTTCTGTTTATATGTTCAAGTTTAGTCCTGAAATGTTCAAAGGGGGAACAACCACTGACTTTCCTTCATTTTCTGTAGTGATAAAATGTTTATTGTGAAGCTGGAAGTGATATCAGCATCAGATTGGTCACTTTGCTCACTGCACTTACTTCATGAAGTCTGTTTTTCTAAATTATTCGAATGGATTCCCACAAAATACTTCATTAAAACAACTATCAGAGACCAGAGACTTTATATAGATCTGTGGAGCCACAACTATCTTAAACAGAAACTCTCTGTCAACATGAAATAGGCTAAAAGATTTCTAACTGAATCATAGCCAGATTTAAAGAAATTAAAGGACAGAGGTCATTATTGTCTAATGGTCTGATGGGGGTGACCAAGATATTTTTAAGGCTTCAAAAATAACTATTTTTAGTTTGGAAGATTTTAGACTGAATTATAAAATGCTTTGAATTTTGCCTCAGAGAGCTATCAAAAGGTGTAAATTACCATTGTTGCAATAAAAGCAGAAGGTGGGGTGTATGAACGTATGTGAAGCCTTACAGTGATGGAAAGTGCTTTGATTGCATCTCATTTGTCCAAAATTGAGCAACACGGCACATGACAAAGGCACACAGTGATTCTATGACACATCAGGCAGCAGCGACTAAAATGACTTCACACATTGTTTCATTGGCAAGCAATGGGGCTGCATCTTGATAAATAAATGGGTTATAATAAATAATCTTCTATACTAAACAATATACCACAAGATAAAATAGTGATAAAGCAGAAAATAGAAAAAAAAAAGTCCAGATCAATGCTGTATGAAACCAAAAATGGTAATGCTGTCAGGTCAGGTTTCATATTACTGTCTCAAAGAGTCTGAATGACTTATTTTTGTAAAATGCATGAAAACAAAACTCAAATGTAGTCTTACTGGCATCTGTTTCCAATCGTAGGGTTCAGGCATACTCAACTAAATGTACATTATGCATAAGCTGTTTGGTGAGCATCTTTAATAGAAGTTAGAACTGAAGTCAGACACTAATTAGTACTTCAGACCTCCGGTAATACTAAAACTTTCTATCAGACTGTTTCAAAGGTCCTTTTAATAAGATGGAGAGGTTCTAGATCGACCTGCAGTTCCTATGGATGCTTGGACTCTAAAGAAACAGTATTGCCCCTCCTCCACCTGTTGTGCACACTACCTGTCAGCTGGCTGAAAGAAGCCATTATTTTTCTCTCCAATTTGAAAAACACTGGGAAACAAAGCTTGGAAACTAAAGGCCTCTTAATTTAAAATGTATGTTAAAAATAAAAATAATATAAATTCATTCCATTTATGTCTTCTTAACAGAAAGTCTGAATTCTGACTTTTTTTCTTAGAATTCTGACTGAATTCTAACAGCTAACAAACATGTTAGCATCAAGCTGTAGCCATGTCTGTTTTAGAGATTAGCTCTCTTGTTTCAAGGACGTTCTGCTCTTCCATTAATTAAATAGCATCACAGAGGACCCCTCGGGCACGTAAAAAGTGGCCTAATTTCGGAATTTTCCACCATTGTGTTACTGGCCCCCACAAACAACTCACATCTTTGTCAGTGAAGCGGAGTGCTCCCACATCTCTTCCTTCATGGTGCCCATCTACATTAAGATCCACAATTCTGAGAAAAAAAAGTCAGAATTCTGAGATTAAAGTCCGAATTCTGAGATTAAAGTCCGAATTCTGAGATTAAAGTCCGAATTCTGAGATTAAAGTCCGAATTCTGAGGAAAAAAAGTCAGAATTCTAAGACTAAAAAAGTCTAAGACTAAAGTCAGAGTTCTGAGACTAAAGTAAAAGTTCTGAGATTAAAGTCAGAGTTCTGAGATTAAAGTCAGAGTTCTCAGACTAAAGTCAGAGTTCTGATATTAAAGTCCAAATTCTGAGAATAAAGTCCAAGTTCTGAGAATAAAGTCAAAATTCTGAGATTTAAGTCAAAATTCTGAGAAAAAAAAGTCAGAATTCTGAGACTAAAGTGAGAGTTCTGAGACTAAAGTCAGAGTTCTGAGATTAAAGTCAGAGTTCTGAGATTAAAGTCAGAGTTCTGAGATTAAAGTCAGAGTTCTGAGATTAAAGTCAGAATTCTAAGACTAAAAAAGTCAGAGTTTTGAGACTAAAGTCAGAGTTCTAAAATTAAAGTCAGAGTTCTGAGATTAAAGTCAGAATTCTAAGACTAAAAAAGTCAGAGTTCTGAGACTAAAGTCAGAGTTCTGAGACTAAAATCAGAGTTCTGAGACTAAAATCAGAGTTCTGAGACTAAAATCAGAGTTCTGAGACTAAAATCAGAGTTCTGAGATCAAAGTCCGAATTCTGAGAGTAAAGTCCAAATTCTGAGAAAAAAAAGTCAGAATTCTGAGACTAAAGTGAGAGTTCTGAGACTAAAGTCAGAGTTCTGAGATTAAAGTCAGAGTTCTGAGATTAAAGTCAGAGTTCTGAGATTAAAGTCAGAATTCTAAGACTAAAAAAGTCAGAGTTTTGAGACTAAAGTCAGAGTTCTAAAATTAAAGTCAGAGTTCTGAGATTAAAGTCAGAGTTCTGAGATTAAAGTCAGAATTCTAAGACTAAAAAAGTCAGAGTTCTGAGACTAAAGTCAGAGTTCTGAGATTAAAGTCCAAATTCTGAGAATAAAGTCCAAGTTCTGAGAATAAAGTCAAAATTCTGAGATTTAAGTCAAAATTCTGAGAAAAAAAAGTCAGAATTCTGAGACTAAAGTGAGAGTTCTGAGACTAAAGTCAGAGTTCTGAGATTAAAGTCAGAGTTCTGAGATTAAAGTCAGAGTTCTGAGATTAAAGTCAGAGTTCTGAGATTAAAGTCAGAGTTCTGAGATTAAAGTCAGAATTCTAAGACTAAAAAAGTCAGAGTTTTGAGACTAAAGTCAGAGTTCTAAAATTAAAGTCAGAGTTCTGAGATTAAAGTCAGAATTCTAAGACTAAAAAAGTCAGAGTTCTGAGACTAAAGTCAGAGTTCTGAGACTAAAATCAGAGTTCTGAGACTAAAACCAGAGTTCTGAGACTAAAATCAGAGTTCTGAGACTAAAATCAGAGTTCTGAGATCAAAGTCCGAATTCTGAGAGTAAAGTCCAAATTCTGAGAAAAAAAAGTCAGAATTCTGAGACTAAAGTGAGAGTTCTGAGACTAAAGTCAGAGTTCTGAGATTAAAGTCAGAGTTCTGAGATTAAAGTCAGAGTTCTGAGATTAAAGTCAGAGTTCTGAGATTAAAGTCAGAATTCTAAGACTAAAAAAGTCAGAGTTTTGAGACTAAAGTCAGAGTTCTAAAATTAAAGTCAGAGTTCTGAGATTAAAGTCAGAATTCTAAGACTAAAAAAGTCAGAGTTCTGAGACTAAAGTCAGAGTTCTGAGACTAAAATCAGAGTTCTGAGACTAAAACCAGAGTTCTGAGATCAAAGTCCGAATTCTGAGAGTAAAGTCCAAATTCTGAGAAAAAAAAGTCAGAGTTCCGAGACTATAGTCAGAATTCTGAGATTAAAGTTCGAATTCTGAGATTAAAGTCAGAGTTCTGAGATTAAAGTCAGAGTTCTGAGATTAAAGTCAGAGTTCTGAGATTAAAGTCAGAGTTCTGAGATTAAAGTCAGAGTTCTGAGATTTTGAGTCAGAATTCTGAGATTTTGAGTCATAATTCTGGGATTTTTCCCCCATGCTAAACTGAAATAATATTTAAAAATCAGTTAACTTTATTTTTATTTTTTTCAGTGGCCCTAACCCTCTTCCTTACTTCTGGCAAATAGTGATATTATTTCTTTTCTTCTTATCTTTTTTTTGTGCATGGACAATCCAATCCTATCCAATTCTAATCTTTATGTTTGCTTGTGTGAGAAAGCTGCAATCTGGCTGGCTAGACCTCATTGTGTTGGATTATCAGGTTGTTTTCCTCCTGTCTGACCTGAAAAGACTGGATTGTGCAAGGCTGTCAGAGGGCCATGGTTCTCATGAAGCAGGCCGCCTGCCTGTGATCACTGAGCGGTCACAGGCTGTCGATTGCTCCAGGTGGCGACAGGACGTCACATCAGGTAAATATTGATGATGAAGCAAAAAGCAACAACAAACAGCTCAGTGAGAAGCAAGCAGAGGGAAAGCACGGGTTACCGGCGGTGTCCCAGATGGAGATGTTGTGTGGCCCCCACTGCTTGAGGAAAAACGCCCCTCCAACGGTGCTGATGGTGTCTTTGAACTTCCTCTCCATGTATCTGTGGAGCAGCGACGTCTTCCCAACGTTCATGTCTCCCAGGAAAACAAGCTTCGCGTCGGGCTTCTTCATCTTCGGCACGTCGGGCATGATGGTCCTCAGTCCCGCTACTACTGCAGCTCTACAAACGCTTCTGTGGGTTTTGTTATTATTTATATGCAAGCACAGATAAAAAGTAGCGGTCTAACTCTGAAATATAAACCCACGCAAATGACTAATTCTTGTAACGAAAAACATTTTGTGAGGTAAAAAAAAAATGCTTTTTCTTCACTGTCTGACTTTTTCACTTTCTTGCTGAGTTAGACTGAACTTCAAAAAGTAACTGAGTTGAAGGAGGAAGTAGGTGAGTAAGTAAAGATTAGGGAGGAGCTTTTGCAACTCTCCCATTGGTTAGACAGGATTAGTGGGTTCACAAACTGACCAATGAGGGAGCTGGTTACCTCTGCGGGGCGATTGTTATTGGCCGAACGGGGTTTCAGTCTACTCAGGGACCAGAAGGGTCAGAGAAAAGGTAAATGGAGAGAATTACGCAAACGAAAAATGCAACTGCAAGGATTTGAAAATGCAGGGTGAAAAAGAAAATGGAATTGGGATAAGGAAATACTTATTTAAATGTGTGCTTAGGAAAAGTATTTATAAACAGATTTATAAGTTGTGTTTTTTAAAATCTCCATTTTTAGGTTAGAAATACGATTTGAAAACACATTTTCATTTTTCAGATTCATTAAAAGATTAATAGATACAATTTACATTCTTTCTTCAATATAACAATTGTATGTTTGAAAGAAAAAAACACTTTTCTAGTATGATTTGAATGTAAAATATGAAAAGGCTGGTTTTCTTTTTTACTGATTCTTTAAAGGAATAGTACACCCAAAACATGATTAGCCTTCATTTTCTACTCACCCCCATGCTGAACAACACTCTGGAGTACTTTTTTGATATCTCAAATGCATCTGGAGATCTGGGAGGCTTCTTGCTGTCTGCTGACATTCAAATAATGGAGGTCCATGGTGCCTGAGACAGAAAGGTCTATAAAAGTCCACAAAAAACGTGTCAATATTCCTCCATACTGCTCGTCCAATGTATTCCAAGTGTCCTGAGTGGGTGGCATCCAGAATTTACTCGAAACGAAGTCATTTAGAATGTTTTTAGAGCATAAACAGTAGTGTATAGGATTTCCTGAAAGCGCGCACATGCGCGTTCACGACGCTACGGAAGCCGGCACACCAAACCAGATGAAAGTGCGCATTCAGCGTCTGCTCTGCCAATAATGCAAGCGTAGAAGAAGAAATGTGCTGTTTACCTGTGCAAAGAAAGAAACAACGAAAGAAAAATGTCTGAGGACTTCAGTGTTGAGGAAGAGCATGAGTTCTTTGCCGAGCTGAATGCGTTTGGTCTGCCGGCTTCCGTAGCGTTGTGAACGCGCATGTGCGCGCTTTCAGGAAATCCTATACACTACTGTTTATGCTCTAAAAACATTCTAAATGACTTCGTTTCGAGTAAATTCTGGATGCTACCCACTCAGGACACTTGGAATACATTGGACGAGCAGTATGGAGGAATATTGACACGTTTTTGTGGACTTTTATGGACCTTTCTGTCTCGGGCACCATAGACCTCCATTATTTGAATGTCAGCAGACAGCAAGAAGCCTCCCAGATCTCCAGATGCATTTGAGATATCAAAAAAGTACTCCAGAGTGTTGTTCAGCATGGGGGTGAGTAGAAAATGAAGGCTAATCATGTTTTGGGTGTACTATTCCTTTAAGTCCTCCATACTCAGTAGGGGAGCTAAATGAAATGTTTCTTTTTGTTTGTTTGTGTGTTTGTTTTTTCATGGGGGCACAGAGCAAAATAATAACAAACACATACAAAAAAAGGACAAGACTGCATCGTGGTGCATGATGCATGGGGGTTGTGAAAGTTTTGGCTGATTTAGACTTTTTTATATATATATTCCCCCCTGTAGTTTCTTCCACTAATTGAAACGTCTTTAAAGTTTGGGGGTCCTTGGCCTGGAAAACTTTAGACCCCTGGTTTAGTGTAATAATGAAGCCATAAAGCCAAGGTTGCAGACTCCCGATCTAACAGAGGAAAACTAAGATTCTGTCTTAGTTAATTTTAAAGCTGACTGTAATTTCAATATAAATTTTTAGGTAAATTTCAAAGGAGAAATATTAAATTTGTCCTAGGGACGAACAAGTGACGGTCTCCCCTGTCAGTAAATATGATCATAAGAAATTCATTTCGTATTACACTGTGAAAACTGACTTCAAATTTCATAATATCAGCGTATTTACACTTAATTTTAGCAGGTAGATAAGAGGAACTCTCAATTGAATGAGAATTTTGCTCTTAAAATAAGATAATTCATTTTATGTATGTGAAATATATTTGAAATATTTTTTTCTTATTTTAAACATAAATCCCCTTATTCCATCTGAAAATCGTCTTACCTCCTTAAATTTAAGTGGAAATACACTAGTTTGAAGAAAAATGTACTTACTTGTATTTAAATGTTTGTAGTGTATGTTTCCAGTACAGGGCCCATAACAGAGGCCAGGACCAGCTCTACAGGGACACTGGCCCCAGTTGGCCCCTGTATAGAACCGCCCATGGATGTACTGCCTGGTAACAAAGTATGTATTTCCACTGCAGGGATGTATGAAAACATAATAGTTTTTGAACGCACATGGAAAAGAAACTCGCCTATACTGTTTTATGTCAGGCACACTCGTGTCAATCACATCACAAGAGCCACAACAAGCAATCAATAATTAGCATACATGGTGGCAGTTGAATATAGATTCTCATACATTTAAGTTGCGAGTGGTTCCACCTTACATATGAACGCAGCTTGCAAGCCATTTATTATTTGTCCTTGTATGTATTTTCATCTCATAGGAAGCAGTTTCTAATCCCGACTTGATTAATAAGTTCTTCTACTTTAGCTCTTAATAAATGGTCAAAGATTATATGAATATACAATATTTATCTGTATACAATACCTATCTGTTGTGGATCTTTATCTCACCTAAAGAAAATGCCATAAAGGTGTAATGTTTTGGGGTTTTTTCACCTAAACCATGGTACAGAGATTTCTGTTTTCGCCTTATAATTCTTGAGAAACAGCATTTTTTCTTTTCGTTCGCAGTTAAAACAAAACTAGTATAACTGAGTTGTTGAAGGATACAAATTAAAAGGGTAACAATATAATCCAGAGTTGTGTTAGTTTTAAAACCATTTCAAACTGCTTAATCAAGTATTAAATTATTTTTTTCATCATTTGAAAATAGCTAAAAATCTTTTTTCAAGATTATAAATATTTCCTCCACACAATTTGAACATTTGCTTTCATTTTTTGACTTGTTTTAAATGACATTTTTACCTATTGTGTATTTTTAAAAATCATAAAGAGATCAGAATCCAAACAATGTTCTTCAAAAACCGAGACTACTTGTTGTACTGGCTGCTTGGTAGGTCTGGCGTTAAGTTTACTGAATGTTTGACCCCAAGAAAAATCTCAGGGCAAAGTAACACATCACCTAAGCATTCACATCTTCACAGGATGTTGCACCCAGATTTCCCAGGGGAGGATTTTACTAAAAATAATTTGATTATGTCATAATGCTCACTTCCACTTGTTGTATAGATAATGCAAATTCAAACGAATTATTTATTTTAATGAATCAGTACGTACTTATTTTGATATAATTACAATGAAAATTGGCTTAAAAAATTAATTTGATCTTGATTATTATCTGAATCATATTAAAAACTGCCTTTTATATTTAGGCTATATATATATATATATATATATATATATATATATATATATATATATATATAATTGGGAAAAACTCCATTGGATGTAATACATAAGAGATTATTTATTCTCAGTAACCTGGTCATAAAAAAAAAAAAAGATTTGGTGAGTTTTGAGGATATTTTTGGCCAAGGTTATACAGTTCCAAAACAGTCTTTAGTATCAATAAAGTAAGACTGTAACGAAGAGCAGTAAATGAAAACATATACTATGAAATGTGTTGCTTAAGCTGTTGTAATTCAATTTGAATTTAATTTGTATGTTAAAACTTAACAACAGTTATATATAGTGTGGTAGGGAAAAAATCAATGGAGGCCAATCATAGCTAACATTTGTGTGAATCAAAACCTCATGATATTGGCTGGATGTCTTCCCTCCTCTCTTTTAGATCAGTTCCTGGCTTATTACTGTGAATGAATCCAAAATCTAAAAATAAGCAAAAGTATGATATTGTGCAGGAGAGTTGTTAAAACCGGCCAAAATTAGATTTTTTTTTAAATTAGGGTACCTTTGTTTCCTGTCAAATCATTGGCATCAATCGTAGAGACAAACACTATTTGTACATAGGTTTATCTGTGTGCATAAGATGCAGCTACTTGGTAAGTGGTAAGAACAAAAGGGTTGTTGCATTTTATATGTGCTCAGAAATCATAATCTTGAAGCTCAGTTTCCAATAAAACAACCAGAGATTACACTTTAGAAGTGGAAACAGCAGCATTAAAATCCACTGTTATTACCATATAAGTGAAATAAACTTTATTTGCCCTTTTGTGATTTTGTTTTCTATTAAATGGGTCACCAATATAGTTTGATGTTATTAAAAGAATGCCGTACTTTTAAAAATGAAAGAAATGCAAGAAAATTATTTAGTTGATTTGATCTGTTTTGGGGAAAGATCTGAGAATTTGTGTTGCTGCAATCTTAACCACACTAACTAAGGCAACACAGGTAGAAATGGGAGACATCCCTCTAGACCTGAAAAGAGATAAACTTGAGCTCACATACAGGGGTGCTGGAAATCTAAATGTTTTAAAGGTAGTAGTTTTGACTGAAGCAAAGGCTAAATCAGGAGACTAAAATAATGAATAAATGGTTTACACTTTTACTAATATATCGGGTTGAGGTATATTTAAATATAATGAAACTAAACAAAGAGTAGGAAGAGAGTACAAAAGGACACCTGGCAGGTCAATATTTAAGAGGCAAATATTACACTTACTTCAATATTTATACAGCCGGGTCCAAAGATAAAAAAAAAGACAGGGTGGGAATAGGAGTATAAAAATTAAAAATTAATGTAAGTATTGAGGATACACTCAGTTTTCTGTGTAGACAGCAAAGATTATTGCAATTATTGTAAAACTGCAACGAGTTAAAGAAGTAAGACCAGGCAGAGTAGAGTGTTGATTGTTTATTGTTAGAAATTCGTAAAAGTTCATTTAGATCACAGAGACTTCACAGAAAGGTGAGATTTTGCTGGATACCAGCTGATGCAGATATAAAAGGATATGGGAGAGCAAGCAAAATAGTTGAAAGATCAACTCGGATGATCGATATTATAAATATGATAAGGGAGGAGCAAAGACAATAAATGGCAGGACAAGTGGGGCATGAATAAAAGCAGAAGGAAGTATTACAGTGTGCAGATATCTAGTGGTAAGAATCAAAGAGGGGTGAGGGTTTCAAGCAGATTGAGATTTGATCATACGAGGTTTAAAGCAAAACCAACATATTATCATCTCATCCTAAGGAAAGAGGATGAGATGAAATCAAAAGATATGATAGCAAAATCGGTTTATTAGGAACAACATTAGAAAGGCTTAAAGCAGGTGTATTCAACTTTTTCCAGGCCAGGGACCCCCAAACTGATGGCGACATGGAGCGTGAACCCTCTACTTACATATATTGGGAAAATGACGGCCTAGTGGTTAGGGCATAGGACTTTGAATCCTGAGATTGGGAGTATGATCCCCCACTCTCCTAGACTGCCACTCTTAGACCCTTAAAGGAATAGTACACCCAAAACATGATTAGCCTTTATTTTCTACTCACCCCCATGCTGAACAACACTCTGGAGTACTTTTTTGATATCTCAAATGCATCTGGAGATCTGGGAGGCTTCTTGCTGTCTGCTGACATTCAAATAATGGAGGTCTATGGTGACCGAGACAGAAAGGTCTATAAAAGTCCACAAAAACGTGTCAATATTCCTCCATACTGCTCGTCCAATGTATTCCAAGTGTCCTGAGTGGGTAGCATCCAGAATTTACTCGAAACGAAGTCATTTAGAATGTTTTTAGAGCATAAACAGTAGTGTATAGTATTTCCTGAAAGCGCGCGCCAGCGCCTTCAGGACGCTACGGAAGCCGGCAGACCAAACCAGATGAAAGTGCGCATTCAGCGTCTGCTCTGCCGATAATGCGAGCGTAGAAGAAGAAATGTGCTGTTTACCTGTGCAAAGAAAGAAACAACGAAAGAAAAATGTCTGAGGACTTCAGTGTTGAGGAAGAGCAGGAGTTCTTTGCCGAGCTTAATGCGCTGGTTTGGTCTGCCGGCTTCCGTAGTATCGTGAACGCGCATGTGCGCGCTTTCAGGAAATCCTATACACTACTGTTTATGCTCTAAAAACATTCTAAATGACTTCGTTTCGAGTAAATTCTGGATGCTACCCACTCAGGACACTTGGAATACATCGGACGAGCAGTATGGAGGAATATTGACACGTTTTTGTGGACTTTTATGGACCTTTCTGTCTCGGGCACAATAGACCTCCATTATTTGAATGTCAGCAGACAGCAAGAAGCCTCCCAGATCTCCAGATGCATTTGAGATATCAAAAAAGTACTCCAGAGTGTTGTTCAGCATGGGGGTGAGTAGAAAATGAAGGCTAATCATGTTTTGGGTGTACTATTCCTTTAACCCCACACTGCTCCCTGGGCGCCGCACAATGGCAGCCCACTGCTCCCCAAGGGGATGGGTTAAATGCAGAGATAACTTTCTCCTATGTGAGATTAATAATGTTAATTATTATTTTTTTTTTTTATATTGTATGAAATTGCGTCAAATCAAACTGGTCCTATAGTCACTCTATTACAGATGGAGTAATGTAACAAAAGTAATTTGGCCCTGGGATTATTAAAGTATTTCTGATTCTGATTCCTGGTTGATGGGACAGGTGTTGTGAGTGGAACTGTGCCCAGCTTGAAAGAGCTCCTGTGTGTCGCTGAATGTGTGCATTGATGACTGAAAGATATCTTTTGCCTCCATTTATCTGTTTATCAGTGTGTTGAATTCATGTTAATGTGTATTTAAAGAAATTTCAATTACTGGAAAAATTTGCAGGGGCAAATATAAAAAAAAAGTCTGATTAACCAAGACATTTGTGACCCCCTATCAGTACCTCTGTGGACCCCCTAGGGGTCGTGGACCCCCTGTTGAAGACCTCCGACGTAAAGCAAACAGAAAGCTGTTAATTAAAAAATATATAGATATAGCCCCTATATTAGGGGATTTATTTAAAACTGTATCCTTAGAATTAGTATTATTCTTATATCTAAGATATAGCAGGCCCCGATACAGTAGGTGGCAGCATGTAGCTTAAAGTCATTATAGCAATCTGCCACAAACCAAAACGAAGAAGAATGAAGTAGACCCTGGAGTATCCGAGCAGCCCATAAACGCACCATTCCTGTACCTTCCCCTCATTGCTGGCCTGCCCCAGAACGCCTCATGATCCGGAGCTATCGTTCACTTTTACCAGCGTCAAAACGCATTTTCCGTTCAGGTAAGAAGGGGAGCTCACATCCCTTGGGGTATTCCACGCGCTTGGGGGCTCCGAGGTTAAATGGCTGAAATTTTGCTTAAACAATGGTTCCTCAGCAGATTCAGACACAACTCTGCTTTTGGTTTGTCACGGTTGCGCTGTCTGTCGTCGCAACGTTCATCTGTTTGAACGAAAAAGGTAACGTGAAGGAAACTTGCTAAATTAATTTTTACTCGCATTGCTAAATGTCTGTAGCTGTAGTTGAAATTTCGGGTGCGTTCAAAGACCTGATAAGGGGTGTATTTTAGGACCCAGCAGACACCTAGCATAATACGCGGAGATAGGTAACGTTAACGTCAGAGGACTGATCAGAGGTCAGTTTGGGAATCCGTCTGCCTCAGTTAATGGCTTCACTAAGTGCTGCGGAAGCTGATCCCCATTCCTCTGACCTAAAAACACTTCGCTACGTACTTTTACAGCGACGAGTGGCCGCTAGCAAGCAAGTAGTTGACCAATACGTCGTTTTGTTATGAAGCTAAAGTTTTGCTCTGTGATTATAAGCTCTTCCAAGCTATCAAAATGGCAGCTGATAAATGTTTGGGTTAGCTTTCTATGGAGCCCCGACCGACATTCCTCGGAGTCTGCCTCTCCATTCAGCCCCAGTGGATAGGGGACAGGCTATAAACTGGAGCAGCTATGCAAGCCAACACGACGCGAGGCTTCCTTTGGTCGGACATAGAGACCAGGACCCTCCTCAACATCTGGGGGGAACAAGACATCCAGACGGCGCTGGATGGAAACTTCCGAAACAGCTTCGTCTACCGAGACGTTTCCCGCAGGCTGGGGGCCATGGGCTTCGAGAGGACCCCAGAGCAATGCAGGGTCCGGATTAAAAGCCTCAAGAGGCAGTACCTGCTAGCAAAGGAGGGGAACCTGCGGAATAACGGACAGTACCACAAGATCTGCAAGTTTTATGACATCATGGAGGGGATTTTGAGCAACCGAGCGGCTCTGGACCCGCAGGAGTTGATGGACAGCGGGGCGGGAGATGGTCTGGAGGAGGATGGAGAAGATGCTCAGGACGGATACTCTGAGGGCGCAGGGGAGGCTCCTTATCCTGCTGAGACTGAAGTCAAGCTGGAATACCCAGCTGCCCCCATCCCGATCCCTGTTAAAGTCACAGTAGGCAACACCAGTAAGTACATCCTGCTCATTTACTGCTTGATCCACAGTTTTATTGTCATTACACTGTCACAAGCAGGGGCGGAGCTAGATGGGGGGCCAGGGGTTGCCATGGCCACCCTTAGCCAATAATTGGCCACCCCTGTGGCCATTTCCCCCTCTAATACTGACTGGAAGCAGTAATACTCTGAAGGGGAATGTTCAAACTTATTTAACATTTAATTTTTTCATATATTAACAACTACTTGACAACAGAAATACTGGTTAATTCTGCACATCAATATAAAAATATTAAAGATGATAGATACAGAATTCATGCTCTTTTTAGAAGTACATTTTGAAGTATTTGAGGGAAAAAGAAAATTATCATCTAGGAGTCTTCAGTGAAATCATAGATAAATAACTACTCTAATAGTAACATAAAAATGTGTTAAATGTGGATATTAGTAGATTTAAATATCATTTTTTTTGCAGAATGATTATCGAGAAAAGTAGGTGACAATTGAAATATGTTTGCCCCAGAACTCAAACCTGAAAGAATTTTGTCCACTGTACCTTTTATTTACACAGCATAGACATTTAAATATATATGTCTATTTGTTAGCAAAGGCTGCAGGAAAGTATAGTTTGTCTTTATTTAGAAAATATGTAAGTTGTGCGTGTTCCTGTTGGAACAGTGTAGATTCACCCTGAGGTTCTGGTGCCTTTCAGCCACCCCTATTAGGATTTTCTGGCTACGCCTCTGCTCCCAAGTACAGCAAACAATGTCCTTATTCCCCCTCTGAGGAAAATTAATTTATTTAAAGAAATTACCAAATTAGAAGTTGTTTTTGTATCTGTTTATGTTGATGATTTTAGATTACAGCTGATTAAACCCATAAATGTAACTGTCATAAAGTTTGATAATCATAAAAAGGAAGCATTGCATTAGTTGATATGCTAAAGCATCAACAATCATTTAATTATTAAAGCTTTCTCAGAGATTACGTTTGTATGCACAAATTCATTGATTAGATCGAGCAAAAACTAAATCAATATATAATCTGGATAGGTTTATACTGGAGCATACAATTAAATAATCCGAGTATGGCCTGTGTTTACTTGGATCAGGCTTTATTCAGAATATGACTCTGAAAACAACAAAGCTGGAAATGCTTTGGAATAAAAGCACGTCATGGTCAGATTATTGGTTTTTGAGCAAATGTAAACATATTTGGATTTGTTCCTCTTTTTTTTTTAGTCTGAATTGATTTTTAATCCAATGAAGGAGTTTTGTGTTGTCAGCTTTCACTACAGGGGTAAAAACCATAAATTAGGATAAAGTCAGGACAGACCACTTTATTCTGACCTCTGCTGACCAGCTGTATGGAAATCCTTTGGGGAAATTAGTTTTTTTGATTAATGGTGAGGATTTATTATTTCAATGAACAAAAATAAACACTTTAAATACATCAACATGTTAAAATCTATATTTTTAAAATCTTTTTCAAAGTTATTTTAGAATCCATTGAGAATATGGATGGCTCTGATTTAGATATTGGCTTTAAATCCAACAGAAAATCATACATTTTCAAAATGTAGGTATCAAAGCACTTTCCATAACCCTTCAGTTATTCTGCATGTTGGTGAATGTATTTGTAAGCACTGTGGGATTTCAAAGTTTGTTCAGTATTTGAACCACTGATCCAAAAAAATAAATAAATAAATAAAAAATAGCCAATTTCTTGCACATTTAATCGGTTTGTCTCTTATCAGAAATAAAGTGTATAATATAAAGATGCATTTATGCTGGCTCACTTATGTTCTGAAATCCTTTTTCCAGGCATTTCTGCAAAACCAACTAACAGTAGCCAAGTAGCTGGTAATTTTCCACCCAGAGCCCCTAAACGACCCAGGAAGAGGCGCTCCAACTTCCCCATGGAGAAACTAATGGAGCAGTTCCTGGAGCAGAGCGCCCAGGCTGAGGAAAACTTCTACCGCATGGAGGAGCAGCGCCTGCAGGCGGAGGATCGGCGCAGAGAAGCGGAGCACGCCAGAGAGCTGCACATGCTCCAGATACTGGCTCAGATGTTCTCCAGCAGAAGCAGCTCCTCCTCGTCATCTGCTCCCCCCAAACCGACCCCTCCTACCCGACCTCCGGTTATCTCCAGCACCCCCCCGTCACATCATACCCGGGGCTCCACTGGGCATCTCAAACACCCTGCATCCCTGACAGACTATTTCAGCCAACCCGTGAGCTCAGATCCTCAAACTTTAGGTATCAGATCGGGCAGCGTGTGTGAGGAGAGAACAAAAGGCAGCGCAGGTGTGATGTACAGGTGCTGGTCATAAAATTAGAATATCATGAAAAAGTAGATTGATTTCAGTAATTCCATTTAAAAAGTGAAACTTGTATATTATATTCATACATTACATACAAACTCATATATTTCAGATGTTTATTTTGTTTAATTTTGATGATTACAAATGACAACAAATGAAAATCTCAAATTCATCATATCAGAAAATTAGAATATTACTGAAGACCAATAAAAACAAAGGATTTATAGAAATGTTGGCCAACTGAAAAGTATGAACATGAAAAGTATGAGCATGTACAGCACTCAGTATTTAGTTGGGCCTCCTTTGGCCTGTATTACTGCAGCAATTCGGCGTGGCATGGAGTCGATCAGTCTGTGGCACTGCTCAGGTGTTATGATAGCCCAGGTTGCTCTAATAGTGGCTTTTAGCTCTTCTGAATTGTTGGGTCTGGTGTATTGCATCTTCTTCTTCACAATACCCCATAGATTTTCTATGGGGTTAAGGTCAGGAGAGTTTGCTGGCCAATTAAGAACAGGGATACCATGGTCCTTCAACCAGGTACTGGTAGCTTTGGCACTGTGTGCAGGTGCCAAGTCCTGTTGGAAAATGAAATCTGCATCTCCAAAAAGTTGGTCAGCTGCAGGAAGCATGAAGTGCTCTAAAACTTCCTGGTATGTGGCTGCGTTGACCCTGGACCTCAGAAAACACAATGGACCAACACCAGCAGATGACATGGCACCCCAAACCATCACTGACTGTGGAAACTTTACACTGGACTTCAAGCAACGTGGATGAAGTGCCTCTCTTCTTTTCCTCCAGACTCTGGGACCTTGATTTCCAAAGGAAATGCAAAATTTACTTTCATCAGAGAACATGACTTTGGACCACTCACCAGCAGTCCAGTCCTGTTTCTCTTTAGCCCAGGCAAGACGCTTCTGACGCTGTCTGTGGTTCAAGAGTGGCTTGACACAAGGAATGCGACAGCAGAAACCCATGTCTTTCATACGTCTGTGTGTGGTGGTTCTTGAAGCACTCACTCCAGCTGCAGTCCACTCTTTGTGAATCTCCCCCACATTTTTGAAGGGGTTTTGTTTCACAATCCTCTCCAGGGTGCGGTTATCTCTCTTGCTTGTACACTTTTTTCGACCACATCTTTTCCTTCCCTTCGCCTCTCTATTAATGTGCTTGGACACTGAGCTCTGTGAACAGCCAGCCTCTTTAGCGATGACCTTTTGTGTCTTGCCCTCCTTGTGCAAGGTGTCGATGGTCGTCTTTTGGACAACTGTCAAGTCAGCAGTCTTCCCCATGATTGTGTAGCCTATAGAACTAGACTGAAAGACCATTTAAAGGCTTTTGCAGGTGGTTTGAGTTAATTAGCTGATTAGAGTGTGGTACCAGGGGCCATCAATTTTGAACCTTTTCACAATATTCTAATTTTCTGATATGATGAATTTGAGATTTTCATTTGTTGTCATTTGTAATCATCAAAATTAAACAAAATAAACATCTGAAATATATGAGTTTGTATGTAATGTATGAATATAATATACAAGTTTCACTTTTTAAATGGAATTACTGAAATCAATCTACTTTTTCATGATATTCTAATTTTATGACCAGCACCTGTAAACTGTCAGCAGTGATCCTGTTCATTTTCAAAACACATTGTATCAGTCTGTGTCCTGATTACTCAGCAATTGTACAGAAAAAAAAAAAAGCCTCTATTCAATTCTTATCGACACCAATTTATTTATTATTTGATCTGGCTTTTTTTTTCCTGGTGGACTGATGATGCAGAAACAAATTCAAAGATTTTTAAGAACACAGTTTTGGATTCATTCTTAATTTGCTGTAATCCACGGATGCTCTAAAACAATGCATCTAAATGCTTAGTTGCACCTATGAGACTAACATACTGGGCCTGTTCCTGCCCTCAAGAACAGCCCATCTAGGTGATGTTTTCTAGGTGAATCTAAGGGTAGGCTTTCTCCTTCATTATTTCATCCTTTTTGTGTTTGAAAGTTACACTAGCTGTAAAACTGACCCTCTGCATGATGCTGCCACCACCATGGTTGGCAGTTAAGGATTCTTGGGTTTAAACAGCTTCAATAGTGAATCTTTGTTTTGACTGAATGTAGAACTTTTCTCATTAAAGCATTTGGGTGCAAAATATTCATCAAAATGAAAGTTGCCAGATTTGGAACAGGGATGTTTTTTATGGTCAGCACCCTGTGAGTCCATCAAGATTTTTTAACGGGTTTCCAGTTCCTAACAGATTAGGGCCTTGGTGTTTTCTAAAAATCAAGCTTGGGCTTAATTATCTGTTCTAACAGGACAAACTACTTACTGAATGGATAAACCACGGTTGATCTCGATTTCGGAACACTGTTGAAATGGTTTGCAGGCTGCTTGGAATGAAGCTTTCTGTCTGGAAACCAACCAATTTGCATGAGCTAAACAGAGTGGTCGGATATCCAGCTGTACTCTTCAACTCCTGCTTTCTCAGACTCTGTTAAAGCATCCGAGTTACGAAGCCGGTCAGTTTTTCCAGACTTCTCTGTGAACCTGAATCTTCTGGCAACAGAGTTTGGGAGTTTGGAAAAGCCATGTCCACACAGAGAGCTTAGTCTGATTAATAAGTTTGTCTAACAAGGTGAACTTTAGTACATATGCTCAATAATGTGTATGAAAGGACTGTAAAGGTAGATAATTATGGAGTAAAAGTCCCCTTTAGCTAACACCTGTTGTATCATAAGCCCACCATGAAGAAATGCTTTGACCAAAGGCCAAATTTACTGTGATCTTCATGCAAATACATGGACTTTTAACTTTAAATTAAAACTGGTTTGTTGTATTCTGCTCTGAAAATCTCTTTTTTTTTTCTTCCCTCAGTTTTTGAGCATTACCACGGTGTGGGCTCCTCATCACACAGAGGAATGGACGATGACATCATCTCACTAGTAAAGAGTATTGTTCCTCCACTGACGTCAAAAAAGCACAAAGGACAAGATGGCCGTATTGGGATCATTGGGGGATGCAAAGAGTAAGTCACATGAAGATCCACTCCTCTTTCTCACACTACCTGCAGAAAATATTTGGCTGGAATCTCATCTTCTTTTTTCTTTAGTTACACAGGAGCTCCATATTTCGCCGCTATTTCTGCACTCAAAGTGGTAAGCTGTAAATCTTATAACTTATGTTGCATTTTCAGCATCAATATTAGATGGATTTATTTCTTTATTTTTGTCTTAAGGGGGGTGACTTGTCACATGTGTTCTGCACCAAAGAAGCTGCGACTGTGATAAAATCCTACAGCCCTGAGCTCATAGTGCACCCTGTCCTGTAAGTACATCAGCTGGGCTGTGGTTTGACAGGAGACATTAAATATGAGAATAAAAATCTGATTAAAGATACCAAGACAATATTTCTGTCATAATATGACAGGTGGACAACTTACAGAGAGGATATCGTCACATTAAGCAGATAACTTTGTGTGTTTATGAGCTTTCCTAGTGGACTATAAAATATCCAGGATATTGTTGTTAATTAAATTGATGCTGAGTAATGGGCATAATGCTCTACTGATGGATGTGTCTCTAGAACATGGGGGAAAATCCATCAAAATGATCTTTAATGTTTTTATGAAGGGAATGTTACATCCATAGATGGTATCATCCTCACTTTTGATCTCTGTTTTGTGTTACTCAAAAAAACATAAATATGTTTGTATGTCCTTTAAAAAAACAAACAAAAAAAAACATGTCACTGTGTTTTATGATTATTAAGGGACAGTCCAAATGCTGTGGAAGAAATAGAAATGTGGCTCCCGAGACTCCATGGCCTTGTAGTCGGACCAGGTCTGGGCAGAGAAGATGGCTTACTGAAAACAGCCAAGGTATGTGGAATAGATTAATTCCTCTAAACATCCGAGCCTGGCGTTGAAATCCACCCTGAGTGATCAGATCTCTGCTGGCTGCTTTTACATGCAAAGGAACACATGCTCATTTTACACTGCAGGATATCTGCTGGGCAGCAAACAGGAAACTGACACAGTCCTTTCAGTGGTGATCAAACCTCCCAGACTCTTTACCTCATTGGTGTTACCTCTGCTGTGTGTGTTTGTCCATTTGTTTTTCCTTTTTTTTTCTTACAATACGTCTGGTTTGTTACAGACTTTGAATATTTTAATCCCTAAATCCTGCAGTAAAGATCCCACCACAATCAGCAGCTCAACGCATTTCAGTCGCCACCTCCCATAATCCGCCGGTTAATATAATCCAGTTTGATTATTTTGAATTATACCCTTACAATGCTGTTCCTTTTTTTCCTAGATTATCCATCAGCTGTTTTAGTTCCTAAAAGCAAGGTTTAATGAATAACTAGTTGAGCAGCTTTAGGGGAGTCTCAGCAGGTCGGTGTTAGGGCTCTCGGTTTGCCTCTGAATAGACTGTGTTTAAACAACTAAACTGATGGCAAGAAAATATTTTCCAGACCAGCTGTGAAGAAACACTCCAACGAGAACTGTCCTTGAAAGGGTTTGAGCACATTTACACCTTTAATCCCCCGGATGCAATCCGGATTAATCTATCTGCTAGTTAGGGAAGGAGTCACATGCTAACAGTTTGATTGCAGCTACAAAATGCACCAGTGTAGCCTTGGCTAGACGTGATTTAGTTTGACTGAGTCTTTGTTTTGTTTCTTAAGTCAGGTTGTTGGATATTATTTGAATGAAATATTTACTGTCATACGGTTTCATGGCTAAAGTCTGTTAAGTCATGATGTTGCATCTTTTTTTCTTACAGGAAGTGATTGAAAGGTCTAAGGCAAGGGATATTCCTATTGTCATTGATGCAGTAAGTCTGAATCAAATTCAAGTTCCTGTTCCTGGTCTTCATTTGAAAAGTCATACAGGCTTTGGTTTTCAACAGGACGGATTATGGCTCATCACACAACAACCGTCTATCATCCAAGGTTATCAGAAGGGCATCCTGACCCCTAACTTCATGGAGTTCACCAGACTGTTCGAGGCTTTTGTGAGTTTACTTTTTATTTTCTTGCTGGAGCTGTTTTGTTTGTGATTTCTTGACACGTTGAGTTTATCTCTGACTTCTAATTTCAGCACCATGAGCCCTTGAATAGCAGCGACCACAGGCGCAGTGTCATGCAGCTCAGTGGAGCTTTGGGCAACCTCACCTTGGTGCTAAAAGGGGAACAGGACCTTATCTCAGACGGCAGTAAAGGTTGGTTTTATGAATTCTACAAAATCTTTGTTTATTTAATGCAAGAGGATTTTAGACTTCTAGTTTGTGAGCACTTATTCTGGGTTATTTCCTTTAGTGTACTCCTGCAGTGTGGAGGGCAGTGGGAGAAGGTGTGGTGGACAGGGGGATCTTCTGTCTGGCTCTATGGGAGTCCTGGCACATTGGGCTCACACTACCTCAACAGCAGGCCTGATCAGAGGGTGAAGATCTCTTATATTTCTATACAAGGAACTACATTACTCATGGTTTTTAATTGTAGCAAACCTGTAACGGTGTTTATCTGCTTGTTTTTTATTCCTCTCCCAGTATGAACCCTTCAGTGGTTGCAGCGTTCGGTGCCTGTTCCCTCACCAGACAGTGCAACAATCAGGCGTTCCAGCGGCACGGCAGATCCACCACCACCTCAGACATGATCCAGGAGATCGGTCCGGCCTTCAAGAAACTGTTTGAAAGCTGAAGCAGTCAAACGTTCAATAATGATCTGTACACTTAGTCTGTAAAATGTGCTTTCTTCAGGTAGACTTCAAGTTTGGTAGTCACATGCAGTACACGCACATGTTGTTTTAAATGTTTTAAATAAACCAGAAATAAAATCCAACACGTACCCGATGTCTATCACTTAAGTTGTTGTTTTTATTTAATTTAAGCAAAATCCCTCTTTGTTTCAACAAAAGACTGATTGGGCCAAAATAAAAGTGTAGAATTTACTGCTATTATTTCTTAATATTCCAGTAGACTTCTTTTTTTTTAGGTAAATATTTTTGGGATGGAACATAAAGTATTTATCAAGATATTTTCATAAACATTAAGAGGGACCGTTCTTAATTTGTAACGATTAAGATCAAGGTTGTGAAGCTAATGAATTTAGTTTAATGGTACACATGCAGTAAAGCCTTATTTATTTGCATCCTCTTTACTCGTGCAGCAGCTTGATCTTACATTGGAAAAATTCAACTTTGAATTACAAAATATTTATTTGGTAGGGTAAAAATTGTCAGCTGGGCAGGCCAGGCTTAAACTGGAAGGCAACTGGTCTTTCCTCAGCTTTTTTAAAGACATTTCAACAACAGAAGTCTTATGTTAACTCTGCCGTTTTGTAACAGAGCAAGCCTGGTGCGAGTCGACAGAATTAACAGACTCCTGGAATGGTTTTGAAAAGGAATGCATAAGCATTACCATAAAAACCATTAGATAATATCAAAATACAGATCATTTGTTTTAGAGTGATGTCAGGAAAAAAAAGCTGTTTCCCTCCTCATCACAAATGTAAACAGGCAGTTTGCTAAAATGAGAGAAGCAACATGGTGACAAATCAGGCCTCAGTAAAATTCATGTAAATTTGTTGAAACTAGGAAATTTTAACTATCATCATTCATTGGGTCGCTTAACAGGAAAGAACACCAAAGTTTCCACATCTAAACCCTGTAAAAAAAAAAAAAAAAATGGGACACAGGACTATAGATGTTACATGAACAGTTGAGCAAAATGATACCTCTGCACCAAATAAACTATAGTAGTATTTTTGCATCCCTACCAAGGATGCCAAATGGTGTGGTTGTGGCTGTGTAATGCAAGTTAATCTTATTTTATAATTTAAAAAAAGAGAGCTTTTGCATAAAAAAAAGAAAATAAAAATCTACTTTATTCATCCATAAAATGTTATACTTTCTTTTATTAATTTAGAATATAGTCAAACAGAAGGGTTAGGGGAAAAAATGTACAAGCTCCCAATAACATATTTGAAAACCTCTCGCATGCTTTATCCAAGGCTGTTTGCCTTAAATTGATATAAACCTTACGAATTCTTAATTAAAATCACAGCTATTCAAAACCAGTTCTTCAATTTTACTTAAAGTCTCAAAAGTGCATATTTCCTCACTAATTTGCATCTATTTTATTGCTTTTTAAGGTGCTAGTTTTTTCTAAGGATGCTGTTTTTTAGTCACAACCTACATTTAACTTGATCTTGGGCATAAAAAAAAACACTTGTCAGAAGACTTTTCCATAAAATTCTTTCTGGGTGCCTATGGTCTTATGTTTTTGTTTTTTTACTACAAGCTTAAGACGAAAACAGCTGAGTATTTAAATCTCATACCAGAAGAAAACATTGAAAGAGTAACATCTAATTTTCATTTGTTGTCAAGTAAGTTAAATATTCTTCCATTAAAAAAGATACAAATCCTAATAGTTTAAAATTGTAAGATTATATATCTGTTTTGGCAATATTCCTAAGCAGTGCTTAAGCCTTGGTCCATGGTACACTCTTAGCTTAGTTTGCAAACCATAAAGTGAGATTCACACATCAAATTGTAACTTTTATACGATTTTAATTACTGGTCATTTCCTATGCTATGAAAAAATCTACAATATCAATATACGTAAATGAGCGTCTACTGCAATAAAGAACACTATGATGTTGCAAAGTAGCAGCTTGCCTAGAAAAAAACGATGGGATTATGATGAATGAAGATTGTTGTCGGAAAGCTGGGTCCTGTTTTAAAGGTTAATGCAGGTAGGAGATGCTGCGAAAGTTGTTTGCAGAAGGTGCTTCAAACTAGAGGGTGTGCGCATGCGCAGGCTCCGTTCTATTCGGAGTGCGCATGGGCGCACACCCCATTCTTCTCTGGCTGTGCGCATGCGCACAAGTCGTTCTACTCGCGGTGGTTTTTAGCTTCACCCAGCGACAGTCCTCTGGTCATATTTGTTCAGCAGGGAATTAATTATAAAGTTTTAAATATAAATGAAGAAATAGAAGTAATAGGGATTGAGGTATGGATTAGTAAATCAAAATTTAATATAATAAATTATTATAATCCATGTAAAAAAATAAGTAGAGAAATACTGGATAGTATTTATGTGAAGGAAAATGTTAAAAATATTTTATGTGGAGATTTTAATGCTCATAATACCTTATGGGGAAGTAAAAGGAATGATGAAAATGGAAACATAATTGAGGAATTTATGGATGATTATAACTTAACTTGTCTAAATGATGGAAGAGGTACTAGATTTGATGTAGGGCATGGAGTAGAATCTGCAATTGATCTTACTATAGTCTCAGATCAGATAGCAGGAATAAGTCAATGGGAAGTAATGAATGATAACTCCCTTGGAAGTGATCATTATCCTATTCTGCTTAAATTGAATAATTTTAAAGTAGCAGTTGAAGAAAATTGGTATCCTAAATGGAGAATGAGGGAAGCTAATTGGGAAATGTACAAAAAGATAGCAAGTGACATGTTTATGGAGATTATGCCAAATTTAAGCAATAATATTGAAGAATTAAATTCAATGATTACAAATATAATATACGAATCTGCAGAAAAGGCCATTTGCAAATCTACTGGATTGAAGAAAAAGAAAATGGTTCCTTGGTGGAACAATGAATGTAAAGAAGCTATTAAAGTTAGGAATAAAGCATTTAAAAAGTTAAAAATAAATCATTCATTTGATAATTTAATATTATACAAAAAAGCACAATCTAAAGTTAGGAGAACAGTTAAACTATCAAAAAAGAATTATTGGAGAAGTTTTTGTAGTACAATTGGAATGGACGTTAAAATAAATGAGATCTGGGGAATGATTAGAAAGATGGGAGGAATTAGAAGGGATTTTTCTTTACCTATAATTAAAGATGATCAGTGTGAAGCTATAACAAACAAGGAAAAAGCAGAGATGTTTGCAAGGTCCTTTGTGAAGGTGCATAGTTCAAAAAATTTATCAAATGAAGAATTATCATGGAGATTGGAAATGATTGAAGATAATAGAGAAATTTTAAATAGAAAAGAGATTGATGGAAGTATTTTAGATAAAGAATTTACATTGTTTGAAATGAATAGAGCATTGATAGGAGTTAAAAATACATCTCCAGGTAAAGATGGCATATGTTATAGGATGATTGAACATTTATCAGATGATGCTAAAGGAATAATTTTAAAGTTATACAATAAAGTATGGAAACAAGGTGAATTGCCCTTAAGCTGGAAGCATTCAATCATTGTACCAATATTAAAGCCAGGTAAGGATAAAGGAGAGGTTAAAAGTTATAGGCCTATAGCTCTTACTTCTAATTTATGTAAATTGATGGAGAGAATGATAACTAGGAGATTAATGTATGAAATAGAAAAAAGAGATCTTTTATCCCCTTATCAGAGTGGTTTTAGAAGTGGACGGACAACAGTAGATCCAATTGCTTGTTTAGAAAATGAAATAAGAAAGGCTCAGGTAAATAAAGAAATTCTCTTGGCTACATTTTTTGATATTGAAAAAGCATATGATATGCTTTGGAAGGAGGGTTTATTAATTAAGATGAATAAAATGGGAATCAAAGGAAAAATGTTTAATTGGATTAAGGATTTTTTAAAGAATAGAAAAATAGAAGTAAGAGTTGGGGTAAATTATTCAAACATTTATGATATACAAAATGGAACTCCACAAGGTAGTGTATGTAGTCCAGTGCTTTTTAATATAATGATTAATGATATTTTTGATAATATAGATTTTAGAATTAATAAAGCATTATATGCAGATGATGGGGCATTATGGGTGAGAGGAGGAAATCTTAGTTATTTAAAAAATAGAATGCAATCAGCAATTAAAACGGTAGAAAGATGGTCACACGAATGGGGGTTTCGTTTGTCTGTTGAGAAGACACAAGTATTATGTTTTTCAAGGAAAAGGGATAATCCAACAGTAGATCTTAGATTATATGGGCATGAATTGAAACAGGTAAATATGATAAGGTACCTTGGTGTATGGTTTGATGAAAAACTTTCATTTAAGATACATATGCAGAAGATTATTGATAAATGTAAAAAAGGTATTAATATATTGAAATGTTTGTCAGGGAATGACTGGGGGGCAACTAGCTCATCCTTGAAAAGAATATATGATGTTTTAATTCGATCTGTGTTGGACTATGGATGTATTGTTTATAAATCAGCTGCAAATTCTTTGTTGTTAGATTTAGATAGAATCCAAGCCAAAGCGCTTAGGATATGTAGTGGTGCTTTTCGAACATCTCCAGTTCCTGCTCTTCAAGTGATTACTGGAGAAATGCCACTGGACTTAAGGAGGATGAAACTGTCAATAAATTACTGGTTAAATTTACAAGGGCATGAGGAAAATCACCCTACTAAACAGATATTCAGAGAATGTTGGGAATATGGCCATAATATAAGGAGTTGTGGATGGGAAGGAAATATTTATGCAGAGTATTCTGGGATAAGTAATATAACATACTGTAAAACTGTAAGTACATCTAAAATTGCTCCATGGTTTTTCGAAATGCCAATAGTAAATTTAGAAACTAAAAAAATAGAAGAGTCTTGTGGAGGTTTGTATCAAATTATTCAGCAGCATTTAGAAGTAAGGTATGAAAATATGACACAAATATATACAGATGCATCAAAAGAGGAAAATGGTAAAACAGGAGTAGCAGTATATATTCCAAAAGAAAATATTTCTATCAAGAGAAGAACAACAGATAATTTATCAATTTTTTCAGCAGAGATGTTGGCAATTATTTTAGCATTGCAATGGGTGCTGGAGGTGAAGCCTAGAAATGTAGTTATCTGTTCAGATTCAATGTCTTGCCTGACTAGTTTTAAAAGTGGAAA